GTATATAATAAACTGCATAGGCCATATGTCTAAGGATAGGCAGCATTTAGGAGCATATTATTGACACCCCTGCGCCTATTTCTAATGCCTGTTTGCCTATTCTTGTGACTCTAGGGCAACTTCGAGTTCCGTACCATCCCAGATGATTTGGCCAAGTTTGCGGACGGGAGCACTGAACAGCAGGCTCTGGGGCTACAAGCAATGAGTATGCTAGTCAATACATTCAATAAGGTGCGTGTATGGTTCTTTCCATATCACCAATGCTTGTCTGTATATTCTAGTGAGCACGTTTTGGCTTCCTTCTGTACTTCAGGGATGCTACAGTGATAGAGATAAGGTCGTACGTAGGCGACAAGGGAACTACCCAATTGCCTGACCTGATCTGGGAGCGCTCGCACATCCGCACATAAATGCATACTACAACGCATCAGTACGCAAATCTTCCACTTCTCCGTACCGTTGACCTGGACCAGTTGAGATACACCTTGTCGGTTGGCCAAGTGTTCTTATCTTGTCTCTGACTTGTACTCCAATCCATGCTTTCCTAATCCCGGTATTCATCCCGTTATTCCACATGCGCAGCAAGGTTCCATCCGCTCGTTTACATTGCAACGACGCCTGGCGTCGTCATTCCGCGATATGTCTCTGTTGTCCATGTTCGAAAACTGCACGCGCTTACTCACGCGCTTCATGAATAAGGAACTCAGCATCAGCAGTCAGGGAGGCGAGGTATTACGCTGTGACAAAATAACGTCACCGACGTGGACGGCTTATTTAGCGTGGATATCTTTGCTTATTGTGGTGTGCGTGTACTTTATATGACAAAATAATGACACCGACATTAAGAGCTTATTTGGCGCGGATTGCAGTTCGAATTGCTGTGTGGACTGGGCGTGCTTATGCTGTACATTTAGCCGAAGCATACTCTCTTGCTGTATACACTAATATCTAGCTTGCCAGTCTAAATCCTACTGGTCTCTGCGTCCCACATTGTCTACAGCGTCTAAGCCCAGTGCAGTAGTCCTCCTCCATACGCCCTGCCCTGCATGTGCACATGATACGGTCCTATCTCCACACGCCTTACCTACACGTCACGTGTACCGCTGCACTGCTATTGCACCTAGACTATTGCAGCGCCCAGGTATATCGCAATGGCGGTGCAAACGGGTTGTCACTGCTCAGGCACAGCCGAGAGGTGACTGTAACACTGGTAGCTTATGTGCACATGGCGTCTGCTACCCTGCACGCGTTTGCGCTGTTATCGCTAACCTCGATACATGCACGTACGTAGCCTTCGAGACACAGAACCCTAAACCCTAGATGCATGCAAGTGCGTATACGTAACCTTTGAAACACAAGCACGGCCCTTTTGTCACTGGCATGTTCGGTACAGCACCAAACGTTCTCCAAACGAACCATTCCCATCTCGCCACATTCGATGTGCAAAACCCTAGACCCTAAACCCTAAACTCTGCTGGCGTAGTCACATACCAACCAGCCAGCACAGTACTCATTCGATGGCGGTTGTACACAACCTCTGTGGTATCTGCACGCGCAGGTTATCATCATATCTCGTACCTTCCCATGCAATCGAATGCGCTTTTGTGAGTACGTTGTCATCACATGCTTCAAGGATGTTTCTTGCTTCCCTACGTTTGCGTTGCAGTTGAGCATGATGGCGTGCCTGCAGCTGACGATAGACATTCTGAGCTACGACTTCATAGGCACCGCCTCAGACGAAAGCATCGACGATCTAGGTGAGTCGATGTTTTGTATGTGTTGTATATGTTGCTTATTCGTTGTATGCGAAGACATTGGAAAGGTGCAGAGCCCCGTGTCCTGACTTGACAGGTGCAGAGCCCCGTGTCCTGACTTGACAGGTGCAGAGCTCCGTGTCCTGACTTGACAGGTGCAGAGCTCCGTGTCCTGGATTCAACCGTGTAGGACATATCGGCGAGTGTCTGCTTGACGTACAACACAATCCGATTTGTCGTATGATTACTTGAGTCTGATAACCTCCTATTCTCCGGCTGCAGGCACTGTCGAGATCCCGTCGTCATGGAAACGCACCATCCAGGAGAACGATCTGGTGGAGGTGTTGTTTACACTATACGCCGACAACGAAACGGCGCAACACCCACAGATGCGATCCAAGACTCTCGAATGCGTCGCACAAATGGCAGCCATCAAACGAAGCCTGTTTGTCACGCTGGACAGGAAGACATACTTCTCAAAATTCATCACACATTGTATAAAGGTGTGTGTGTGTACATGTGTATGTGAGGATGTGTGTGTACACGTGTATGTGGGTGTGTGTGTGTACATGTGTATGTGAGGATGTGTGTGTACACGTGTATGTGGGTGTGTGTGACGCGTGTATGTAGGGTTGTGTGTGTACACGTGTATGTGGGTACGCGTGTGTACACGTGTATGTGGGTATGTGTGTGTACACACGTATATGCGTTTGTGTTTGTCTCGACTTCGACTGTATAAAGGTGTGCGTGGTGTCGACCCAACACTTCGTATAGGTAGTTGGATGTTCGCACCTACCCGTGCCCACGTGCACTCAGAGTATACAGAAACCTTATCTCGTATTATGGTTATTTGAATTGGCCCAATCGGACAGATAATGGACATTAAACAAGGACTGGAAGTGGAGGAGAACTACCATCAGTTCTGTCGCGTTTTGGCGCGCATCAAGATGGTAGAGATGTCCAATTTAGTTGAAGAGGACCTGTTCGCGCGATTAGTGACGGGTAAGGAGTTTGTGTGCAGAAACCTAACAATATCTGTCCCATTTTGACTAGCAAAGGAGTTTTCATGCAGAAACATAGTAATGTCTGTTCATTTATGACTAGCAAAGGAGTTTGCATGTAGTAACATAGTAGTAGTATCTGTTCATTTATGACTAGCAAAGGAGTTTGCATGCAGAAACATAACAATGTCTGTCCAAATATGACTAGCAAAGGAGTTGACTTGCAGAAACAAATTAGGGTGCAAAGACAAATTAGAGTGCAATAGATATTTGTCTTATTTTTCTACATATGGGGAAAATGGGATTTTGGTACGATTTTCATGTTCAAATAGTAGCGTAATTAAGTATTTAAAGAGCGATACTTCTATGGGGTGTTGTGAGCGGCAAATGCAATACGTATGGCTTGCGAAGCCCATCCCGGTAATAGTGGAGACTACAGAGGGTTTCGTGGTGTGCTGGGCAGTATAGTAGGTTATAGTATGGTATGGTATGGCAGGGTGCGATAAAGTATAGTCTACCACAGTAAACATAGCTTATCCAAGTGTAAGCTTACGGTGAGGGTCCGGGTTTAGGGTTTAGAAATTAGGTTTTAGAGTTTAGGGTTTAGGGTTTGGGGGTTTAGTTCAGCGTCTGTGAGGGCGTGGCAGGGGGTCTCTCATTCGGCTGACTACCTACTGACTGTGTCTGCTATGCTATTACTAGTACCAACACACCTCACACCCATACACTTCGGACACACCAAGCGTGTATCCATGGTAACCAAACCCCACCCCACCCCAACACACCAACACAAACACATACTAACACCACCGCTGCATTGCACTACAACCACACACTGTATATAGCTGTGGGTGATCTCCTGGGCGCGTCTGTTGGTGCGTGGCAGTGGGCCGGTCACTCGACTGACTACCTACTGACTGTATGGGCGAAGTTAGTACCAGCCCTGCCCACACGCACCAAGCCGTCACCGTTACCGGCGCTGTTCGATGTGTACTCTCCACGCATAGCCAACGACTACTACTCGTCGCGCATTGATGCGGTGGAGACCATTCTGCGGGGACAGCTGGACGATCCCTTGAACGACCAGGTGGGTGGGCGAATGAGAGAGAGAGTGTGTGACGGGTGTGAGGGGGTAGGTGTAGGGGTATGGGATGAATATAGCGGGGTGTGTGGATGTAGGTGTGGGTGTATGGGAAGTATATAGAGGGGTGTGTGGGTGTAGGTGCAGGTGTATGGTATGTACATAGATGGGTGTGTCAGTAGATAAGAGGACTGTGTGTGTGTGTTGGTAGGTGTACTCATCATGCTTTGCGATTGTTTGAGGAACGCGTTCGTGTTATGATGTGTGCCGACTGCAGAAATATACGTTTGTACTCAATATATATATGATGGCACACACTATTTCGCACTGTATTGCTATAGTCCATTGCTCACTACTACCACCTGAAGGTGTATATTCATGTATTTATACACACACACACACACACACACACACACACACACACACTACAC